TATTGAGATAGGCAAGGATTCCATTCCCCTCCTCACCCTCCACCCCCGCCCCAACTTTCTGTTTTCAGGTAAGCTGCGCCTTGTGGAATTGAGCTCTTAGAGTAAACCTCTGAAAAGGTGGGAGAAAATTGCAACTCACAGTGTAGTCTCAAATGTGTTTGGGATGTGTGTTTGATAGAGATCCAGGCTGATAAGAGGGCCCACAGCTGACTGGCAGACCAGAAATCTAAGCTTCCTGGAAACCCTCCCTCCCCACTTTGTTCTGCCTAGGCTGGGTGCTGCTAATGTGTCTCCAGGGTTCCATCTATACTTGGGCGTGGCAAAGTTGGGGGCTCTGGAAAGGTCTGAAAATGAGCTAGGATGATAAAACAACATACACACTTCACACACGCTAGAATATTATTCACCTTTAATTTTTTTTTTATTTTTTAAAGATATATTTATTTATGCATACAAGAGCTGTGGTACAGATCAGAGGTGTGGGGGGCGGTGAGAGGATTCACCAGAGACAGAGTGGGGAACAGAACAGGCAGACAGACTGAAATACACTGCTGAGGGGAACAGCAGACGAGTCAGGAGAGGTCTGCTGCACCATGTGAGTTACCTTCCTGACTGGTGATCGAACTCATGCCACAGTGGCTGGTGATAGCTTGATAGCACTGATTTTAACCCCTGTACCACCAGGGAGTTCCTTATTTTTTTCCTTTTTCATGTAAAGTGGAACATATCTACAGAAAAGTGAACAAATTAGAACTATGTACTTCAGTGACTTTCCAGGAATAGAACACGTGTGTAACTACCACTGAAGTCAAGAAATAAAATGTGACTACCATCCCTGACAGTCCCTCATGCCCCCTTCCAATTTCTAGACTCTGTCTCTATGCAAAGGCAATGACTTCACTTTAACATGATTTTGTGCTTTATAAATGAAATTATGCAAATTTTTTTTTGCATCGTGCTTCTTTTGTTTAATGTTTCAGAAAAAATATATACTAACTATAGGTCAGTATACTTAGTTAAGTATCCCTACTTAAAAGGGATATGTAATAGTCTATCACTAAATTCAGTACTTGTCATATCATTGTACAATTCTCTGTCATTATTAGTTTCTAGAGGAAAACCATGAAACAGATTTGATGAATAGTATCTGTGAGGGAGGGTTAATCTGTCTAGTGTTCTTTGAGTCTATAAGATCTTAGAAAAGATGTACATACAAACTGTGTAGCATTTTTGTTTATTGTTTGACCGGTTGAAATATATTACGGAATTATTAGACCATATAAGATAATACTGACCTTACGAGAATTCATCTAGATTTTAAAGTTACCAATTAAAGATAATGAGAAGAGGGCCTCCCTGGTGGCACAAGGGGTTAAGACTCAACCTATGAAGTTGTCCTCAGCCACTGAAGCATGAGTTCGATCCCCGGCAGGCCAGGGAGCTATCCACATGGCACAGCAGACCTCTCCTGACTTTCCCACCACTCCCCTCAGCAGTGTACTTTGGCCCTTCTTCCTGTTCTGTTCCCCACTCTCTCTGGTGAATCCTCTCACCCTCCCACACCTTTGGCCCTAAAAAGGATTTAGGTTACATGAGTAGAAGAAAAATTTCTGGCAATGAGGTTTGTTAAACTTTAAAGTGAGTTGGGGACTCCCTGGTGGCACAAGGGGCCTACACCCTGATTCTTCCCCATAACATTCTACTTCTCTAATGGCAAAGAAATTTCTATCAGAGAAGGTCTCCTAGAGATAACAATTATGAACTCTGGATAAAATATAAAAAGCAACAAATAGCGCCTCCCTGGTGGCGCAAGGGGTTAAGACACAACTTATGAAGCTATCCTCAGCCACTGCAGCACGAGTTTGATTCCTGGCCAGGGAGATGGCACAGCAGACCTCTCCTGTCTCATCTGCTGCTCCTCACAGCGGTAAATTTCAGTCCATCCGCCTGTTCTGCTCCCCACTCTGTCTCTAGTGAATTCTCTCACCCCCCACATCTCTGGACTGCATCCCAGCTCTTATATACATAAATAAATCTTTAAAAAAAAAAACTTTAAAGTGAGTTAACGGGTCTGATGGAATTTTCTTTTTGGGAAGGATTTCCTCCTTTTCTCCCTGCGTCTCTCCCTCCCTCCCTCCCTTACTTTTATTATTATTATTTTAAACAGATTTATTTATTTATACATACAAGAACTGGGGTACAGGCCAGAGGTGTGGGGGGGGGTGTGAGAGGACTCACCAGAGATTGAGTGGGGAACAGACTAGGCAGATTGATTGAAATACACTGCCGAGGGGAGCAGCGGGCGAGTCAGGAGAGGTCTGCTGCACCATGTGGGTTGCTCCCTGGCCGGGGATCGAACTCGTGCTGCAGTGGCTGACGATAGCTTCATAAGTTGTGTCTTAACCCCTTGCGCCACCAGGGAGGCCCTATTTGTTGCTTTTTATATTTTATCCAGAGTTCATCATTGTTATCTCTAGGAGACTTTCTCTGATAAAAATTACTTTGCCATTAGAGAGGCAGAATGTTATGGGGAAAAATCAGGGTGTAGGCCAAAAGTGCGGGGGTGAAAGAATTCATTGGACATGTGGAGAACAGAAAAGGTAGATTTATTGAAATACACTGCTAAGAGGAGCAGTAGGCAGGACAGGAGAGGTCTGCTGCTGTTGGGAACAACTTTAGAGGTAGGTACATTAGATTTCTTTCAGTCTGAGGTGGCTTACGTAAAGGTGCACCTGTAGATAGGCCAGTAAGCTGATGGTCTTTTGCTATTTAGGAGTCAATGAAAGCTTTTGGTACACCTTGCTGCAATCAGTCACTGCCTCAGTGGGTAACCATTCTGCATTTTCTGATCTTTCTGGGTAATTTAGTGATTAATTGCCGTAGTGCCTAACAAGAAATTCACAGTTTTCTTCAGTTATTTTTTCAAGGCTTTTGTTTTATTTAGTAATGGGAGTGGCTCAGACTCATTTATTTCTGTTTTTAGTCTCATTTATTGAGATTTATTCTTTTTGGTCGTGTTCTTTGAGTTTTGTCAAACACAGTTGTTTGACAAATAATTGGGAAGTACTGTTTATGTCTTGCTTGGGGGGAGGGCAAGGATAGAAAGGAGGATAGAAAGGAGCTGAAATATAGTGACTTTTGGGGGATTTGTATGGGAATCAAAGTCAAGATTTGCCCACAATTGGACTTGGTTGTTTGTGCCCTCTCAAAGTGAATTAACTGTGCCTATTTAGTATAATTAATATTGACTTCACCTGGCCCCTTCAGGATTAAATTTATTTGGTTACTGGCTTTCTGCAACATTAGGTGTGAGGAAGAGGGGAGTCAATTAAAAATAAAAATCATTTCAAGATTAAGAAGTGGGATGTGTCTTTGTGTGTTCCATTCTGTTTTTGCTCCACTAATAAAACATTCTGGGGCCCAAATTATATTCTAGTTATAACAACCATAGATTATAGATTTTTCAGGACATTTCATTTCAGAGACTATCTTTTCCCCTTACGTTTCATTGCTGTAAGTTTCCTGCTCAGATGACATGTGTTGATTTTTGGTTTGGAAAATATCACTATAACAGCAGAGAGAAGGGCCTCCCTGGTGGTGCAGTGGGTTGAGCGCAGCGCTGTGAAGCTGGCCGCAGCATCTACAGCGTGGGTTTGATTCCCAGGCCAGGGAAAAACCCACATGGCGCAGCAGACCTCTCCTGACTCACCCGCTGCTCTCCTCAGCAGTGTATTTCTGCCTGTCTGCCTGTTCTGCTCCTGGCTCTGTCTCCGGTGAATCCTCTCACCCTCCCGTGCCTCGGGCCGGTACCCCAGTTCTTGTATAAAAATAAATAAATCTTAATAACAGCAGAGAGAAAATTGGTTAATTAGAAGCTCCACTGAAGGTTAGGCCGCAACCAACACCGAATTGGGCTTTTACACAATTGGAAAATCATGGTAAGGCTGTGCCTAAGTAATTCTGAGCTGGGGTGGAGAGAGAAAACTACCTCCAACTGAATGCCTACTATGTATGTATGATTGGCAGTGTGCTAGGTACTTTCCCTATTGACAGCTGCTATGGCTAGAATTCCATCTTAGATCCTACCACCACTTAAATAAAAAAACACATTCCTCTTGCGGCCTAGTTCATTAATACTTGTCACAGCTGCCACACCCTTTATAAGAACCTGGCACCATAACTAGTATAGTAGATTCTCAGGGCTTGGAGTGATCTTTGGGAGTCATCTAGTTAAAAGGGGAGCAGCTGTTCTCTTCACCACAGACTCTGAAAATCAGACTGTTCAATTCTCTCAACGGGAGGTGCAAAAAAAGGTATGGGGCTATAGTTATCATAGACAGCAACCTCATTAAAAAACAGGGTAACGATAAGCATATGAATACGTTCCAGACTAGAAAGGGCAATGGGAAAAAATATGTTTAATTGGAGCCATATAAAGGACAATGTCAAGGAAGGGGGGGGCCCCCAACTGGCAGACAGAGGGGCAAAATTTGAGGTCCTTGAATTCAGGTTCAGGACACTAGATGGGTCCTGAGTGGCATAGGTAAGCCCCAGAGCCCTCTCTCCAGTTTCACCAGCCCTGAAGTCCTAGCCATCCTGGATCCTGTCAGTCTGCCCTTCTCTGAGAAAGCCGGAAACCCTTTCCTTTTCCATGGAAAGGGCGAGAGGAAGGGGCGTTAAGGTGCCTGGACTCTAGAAAGCAAGCTTTTTCCTCTTATGTCTGAACGGTGGCCCAGACAATCGTCCAGAGAACAGGAAGAAGACAATTCACGCCCTCTCAAGGTCCCTTTGGTTCAAGGCTTCTGTCATTCTCCGGCCGTCCTGGGGGGAGGGCCTGCGACGTCCATGCTGCCATGGAAACACGCCGCCGTATTCCTTCTTCTTACGTGGGGCGGGGTCCTCCCCCTCAGCCGCCAATCATCCGCAGGGCTTCTTGAGTGGCGGGCAGCGGCGGCGAATGGGCGAGCCGGCGCTGCGTGACGCAAAGGGAAAAGGGGGAGTTCGCGGCCCGTGGCGGCGGTGGCGACAGCGGCGACCTGGGCAGCGCGCTGGAGGGACGCGGGGAGAGTGCAGCGTCCTCTAGCTCGAGCGCGAGGGACCCTGCGAGGATGCCTGGTACCGCTGGGAGGGAAGCGGGGCTTCAGCCGGCCCCGGAGCCCGGGGTTTCGGCTGCGAAGGGGAGGCTGCCGGAGGGGGCGGGGCGGCAAGCATGGCGGCGGCGACGGGGAAGGGGTTGGGGCCCCTGAGGGGGTGGGGAGCCGGCGCTGGAGCGGCGGGGTGGCCGCTGAGGAAGCCGCGGGGCTGTGGGGGTTCTGGAGAGCAGAGATTACAAAGCACCCTTTTGGGGGGGCAGTGGAGGCGCCAGAAGGGCGTAGGGAGAGTTGTGGGGGATGGGAAAGGGGCGGGAGAGGTTAGAGAGGAGGGGAGAGGGTGTCCAGGGGCAGGGGAGGGGGGAGGGGCAGCGAGAGGAGGGGGGAGCAAGCTGCTCTGGAGTAATGGGGAGCTGGGGCCTGGGGAGGTACGACAGGAAAGTGCTATTGTATTATAAATACAACGTTCCAATCGGCAGTGTCTAGACGGGTCCCCCCTCCGAGCTCCAACTGCGGGAGGAAGGCTAGTAGGTTCCACAGAACTGATCTTTTGTTGTTCCTTTCCAGGGGAGCAGATGGACCCTCCTGGAAGTCAGTTGGATTCAGATTTCTCTCAGCAAGACACCCCTTGCCTGATAATTGAAGATTCCCAGCCCGAAAGCCAAGCTCTCGAAGATGATTCCAGTTCTCACTTCAGTATGCTCTCTCGACACCTTCCCAATCTACAGACACACAAAGAGAATCCTGGGTTGGTGAGTGATACCTTGTTTGCAAATGATTGAGCAGATTTTTTAACAAATCAAGATTGACCAGCAGACGTAGTCCTTAAGAAGGCTCCGTCTTTTGAATAAAGTTGGGTTGGAAAAAGGAACATATCTACAGAAAGTATGTCTAGTTTTGGATTGCTTAATATATAGGGATTATTATGTTCGCATTTGTTCTAGGATGTTGCGTCCACTCCTGAGCAAACAGCTGGAGAAGAACAAGGAGACAGTAATAGTGGGTTCAATGAACACCTGAAAGAAAACAAAGCTGCAGGTGAGGTGTTTAAAGCTATCAGTCCCTTTTATAGGGTGCTCTTGTTGGAGCCAGGCTGATTTAAAGGTGGTTGTGGTGAAGGTAGGAAGTAATAGCATAATATCTGGTTCATAGGGCCTCCCCGGTGGCGCAGCGGTTGAGCGCTGGGTTGCGAAGCTGTCGCAGCTGGTTCAATCCCCTGCTGCTCCCCGGCCACTGGAGGAGGGTCCCACATGGCGCGCAGGCCTCTCCTGCCGCCCCTGCTCCCTCAGCAGTGTACTTCGCTCCTTCTGCCTGTTCTGCTCCTGCTCTGGCTCTGGTGAATTCTCACCCTCCCGCGCTTCTGACTGTACCAGTGCTTGTATAAATAAATAAATAAATAAAAAAAAAAAGAGCACTGAGTGCTGAAGTTTAAAAAAAAAAAAAAAAATCTGGTTCATAATTGGCACCCAAAAGGTTCATGTGCTAATGCAGTTGATTAGATTGGTATTGTCTGTGTTCTTGAATTTGTAATTAAGTTTGGTGGGCATGCTTTTTGTGCTAATACCAGGGTTTTTTTTTCCTTTTTAAGACCCTATGGATTCTTCTCATTTGGACACATGTGGCTCCATGAGTCAGGTCATTGAACAGTTACCTCGGCCAAACAGGACAAGCAGGTATCCGAATATTTGAAGGAATTTAACTTATTGATCAACCAGTTCTTTTTATATGTATCTGTTGTGATGGTAAAAGGATTAAATCTTTTTTTTGTAGTTAGGAGTGGGACCTGAGGATTTTTTTATTTAGTATTGTACAGTGCTGTGCAAGACAAGTGCTTCCTGTTTTTCACTAATCATAGCCTCTCAGTATTCTGCCCAAATTCTCCTAAGGTCAAAAGAGAACATAGATAACTTAAGGAGTCTTGGGGTGGTGGAATATAAAAGGAAGGTAGTCGGGGAATGTTAGTTTGAGGTGGTGCAAGACTGGTTTTATCTCAGAAATAAATGCTTTTTGTTTTTGTATGTTATTTTACACTGTTTCCACTTAATTTTTTTTTTTCTCCCAGATCATTCATTGGGTGCTTTTGAATAATTTGCAAATTGGTGGGCTTATTTGGCCTGCAGGTTGGTTCTATTTGGCCCACACAAGGTTGTAAACTATTTGAATTGATTGACAGAATGCTAAAGAGGCATAAAATTTGGGTTTTGGTTTCTGGCTTCACTACGCTTGATTGGCAGCAGTTGAGTGGAGCTGTGAGTAGCATGCAACTTTCACCTGGGGCCTGAGTGCTATGGTTTGTCGTAGTACCTACAACTTACTATGCTACTTGGACACTGAATCATAGTTTTCTTTTTTTAAAAGATTTATTTATTTATGCATACAAGAACTGGGGTACAGGCCAGAGGTGTGGGGAGTAAGACTCTGATTCACCAGAGACAGTGGGGAACAGAATGGCAGATTGACTGAAATACACTGCTGAGGGGAGTAGCGGGCAAGTCAGGAGAGGTTTGCTGCGCCATGTGGATGGCTTCCTGGCTGGGGATCGAACTTGTGTTGCAGTGGCTGCGAATTGCTCCATAGGTTGCTTCTTAACCCCTTGCGCCACCAGGGAGGCCCCTCAAAGTTTTCTTTTATCATAGTGTTATAGAGCAACCCCGATATTAAACGGGTTCCTGGCTGTGGGTCCTCACCCGCACGCTTTAAAGGGACTTATGAATACTCTACTACAGACACATGCAAAAGGGTTAATAAAAGGTTTATTTACAAGAGAAAAGGAAATAAGGAAAATGTACAACTCAGGGAGAAAATAGGGAAATAAAGCCTTTAATGCGTCCTACCCGATCCGACGACCTGGAAACCCAAAGTCGCTCTCAGAGCTGACGGGACGCTGCTGCTGGCCAAGAGCCCAAAAATGGAGAGAGCCCCAAAGCCCACGTGTCTGCCTTTTGTATCCACCTGGCTGCTTAACCCCACCCTCAGGTCCCAGCCACCTTTCCTTTGGTGGTGATGGGATTTGGAGTTCCCAGTGTCTTTGGCTTTGACCTGGGGTGGGGGTGGAGTCCACAAAGCCTATATGGAATTTGCTTTGGGACATCCTTTTCCCCCTAACAATAGTGCTGTGCCATTTTTCTTAACCCTAGCACCTTCATTTATGTTACTTTGATTTGCTTTCTAACAGGCATTCAAGTTTATGATACCTCTTTAGCCACATATGCCAGGCTTAATTATGTTTTTGTTACTCTGGTTTGAACTAGTGGGGACAGGAAGTATGCTTGTCCCTAGTACTTACTAATAAGGCAGTGTTGTTTCAGAAAGTAGCTTGCTACTACTTTTATTGTTTTACTTCAATGTGTTGCTCTTTCTCATTAAAAAAAAACAAAACAAAACAAAAGCAAACTTGAATGCTTACCTTCAATAAAGTTGCATTCTGAGGCATGTGCTTTAAAGGAGTTTTGCCATCATGGAGCTTATAATTTAATAGGAGATACCCTAAATCATTACATAAATAGCTATTCAGTTATAAATGTGATCATTGCAAAGGAGGAATATTAATTGAATTTATAGCCTAATCTGAGGGATGGGGAAAACTTCAATGAGGAATGTGACCTAAACAGTAATCTGCTAGGTGTAGTTGAAGGGCTGGGGAGAAGTGTGGCAGGCATGTGGAACTTTCCAGATAGGGAACTGAAAGGTTCGGCGCGGTAAAGAAAGGAGAGCCAGGCTAAATTTCTCAAAGGGAGAGAAAGTTTATTGCACCCCGGGCGGACCTCACAGACCCAAGGCGGGGATCAGTGGAGTCGCGCACGTTGTTAGGGGGAAGCAGGGTTTTATAGGGCGAGGAGAGGTCAGGTGGGTAGTTGGGCTCGTACAGCGGGAAAAGTTTGTAGGGCAGGTAGAGGTTCTTTGTCTGAGAGGAGACTCGTAGGGGGAGGGGGGAGGCTCATTGCCTGAATCCTCCAGGCAGGTATCCGCGTTCCTGCCCCCCAGGTGGGCTTCCTGGTTGGCTCCTGCATTCTGGCTTCCTGCATGGACCTTTCAGGAACTACATGTGCAGAGACTGTGAAATACAAGAATTTGGGATTGGTTCTAAAACAATGAAAGCTCCTCAGAACATGTGAAAATTGATCTCTTTATGGTATCTTAATTCATTATTGCAGATATTTTGATAAAAACTGCTTGTGAGTTTTGTCATAAAATTAAAAAAAAAATTTCCTCTTGTCTAGTTTCTATGATGTAAGCTGATGATCCTGAACATGGGCAATCTAATTATACTTCTGGAGAAATACAGATATTTTATTTCCCTAATAAACGTTTTAAAAAAATTAAGATGATTGTAGTGTTACATACAGTTTTAAGAATGAAACAGGGGGCCTCCCTGGTGGCGCAGCGGTTGAGCGCTGGGTTGCGAAGCTGCCCCGCAGCCTCTGCAGCGCAGGTTAGATCCCTGGCTGCTCCCCGGCCACTGGAGGAGGGTCCCACATGGCGCGCAGACCTCTCCTGCCACCTGCTGCTCCCCTCAGCAGTGTACTTCGGTCCTTCTGCCTGCTCTGCTCCCCGCTCTAGCTCTGGTGAATTCTCTCACCCTCCGTGCTTCTGACTGTACCAGTGATGTATAAACAAAACAACAAACAAATAAAAAATGCCTCTATAAAAAAAAAGGAATGAAAACAGGGATTTCCTTTATACAATGCTGTTATAGAGCAACCCCGATATTAAAACGGGTTCCTGGCTGTGGTCCTCACCCGCGCGCTTTAAGGACTTATGATACTCTACTACAGACACAACACAAAGGGGTTATAAAGGTTTATTTACAGAGGAAAGGAAATAAGGAAAATGTACAACTCAGGGAGAAAATAGGGAATAAAGTCTTTAATGCGTCCTACCGATCCGGACTGGAAACCCAAAGTCACTCCAGAGCTGGCCGGAGGCTCCGCGCTGGCCCAGAGCCCAAAATGAGAGCCCCCAAGCATCACGTGTCTGCCTTTGTATCCACCGGCTGCTTAACCCACCCTCAGGTCCCAGCCACCTTCCCCTTTGGCTGTGATGGGATTTGGAGTTCCCAGTGTCTTTGGCTTTGACCTGGGGTGGGGGTGGAGTCCACAAAGCCTGTATAAAATTTGCTTGGGACCCGCTTTTCCCTAACATTGCCAGTTCCCCCCATGGTAACTTTTTTTAATTAAAGATTTATTTATGCATACAAGAACTGGGGTACAGGCCAGAGGTGTGGGGGGTGGGAGGATTCACCAGAGACAGTGGGGAACAGAACAGGCAGACTGACTGAAATATACTGCTGAGGGGAAAAACGGGCAAGGCAGGAGAAGTCTGCTGTGCCGTGTGGGTAGCTCCCTGGCCAGGGATCGAACTCAAGCTATAGTGGCTGCGGATGGCTTCATAGTGCTGTGTCTTAACCCCATGTGCCACCAGGGAGGCCCCCCGCCAATGATAACATTTTGCAAAATTAATACTATGTAGTATATTGTCACTAGCAGGTGTTCATGTTGATAAAATCTACTGAACTTACTCAGACTTTCTCAGTTTTGGGTGTGCCTTTATAAAGTTGAATCATCTGTTGGGTTTGTATCCACTATTACACTACCACTGTAGTCAAGACAAGGTAGTGAACAGTTCCAGCTCCACAAGGATTCCTAGTGTTGCCATTTTATAACTATACTTGCCTCCCTCTCCAGCACCTGAACCCATGGCCACCACTGATTAGAACTTCATTTCATTCACAAAATTTTGTCATTTCAAAATATATAAATGGGCTCATACAATATGTATGAAAAGAAAAGCTACTGAGTAGGAAAAAATATAAGCAAACCATATATTCTACAAAGGACTAATATCTAGATTATATAAAGAAGTCTCAAAACACAAAAAACAATTAGAAAATGGACTGAGATTGACTTTTTTCTTTTCTTTTTTTTTTTTTTTTTTTTTTTTTTTGTGGGACCCTCGCCGGTGGCCGTGGATTGAACTGGCGCTGCAGAGGCTGCGGGCAGCCTCTCAACTCAGCGCTCAACTGCTGCGCCACCAGGGGAGGCCTGAGATTGACTTTTTTCAATCAGCATAACTCTCAGGAGGTCTGAGTTGTTGCATGTACCAATAATTTGTCCCTTTTTATTGCTGAATAGCATTTCATGGTATGAATGTAACATAGTTTAACTGTTTACACGGCAAAGAAATCTGGGTTGATTCTTGTTTTTGACTATTATAAATAAGTTGCTATGAATATTTGTGTCGCAGGTTTTTGTGTGAACATAAGTTTCCTTATTTCTAGCATAAATGGTCAAAGTGGACATGGTAGGTCCATGTAGGTCCATGTAGGTCCATGTGCTAGGTCACATGGTAGTTGCGTGTTTAGGATTTTATGAAATTGCAAAACTTTATTTTTGAGTGGCTGTATCATTTTACAGTCCCTCCAGCTCTATACAAGAGATCCAATTTCTGTTTTCACCAGCATTTGGTGGTGTCACTGTTTTTAATTTTAGCCATCCTGGTAAGTGTGTAGTGATATCTCTATTATGATTTTAATTTGTATTTCCCTAAGGATGCTGGACATCTTTTAATGGGCTTCTTTTTTATCTATATATCCTCTTCAAGGAAATGTCTGTTTCACTTCTTGTCCATTTTCTAATTGTTTTTTGTGTTTTGAGACTTCATTATATAAGCTAGA